GGGAGGTCTCGTAATTAAGGGCAATGCTAATCGCTTTTTCGAGTGTCAACTCGTCCCCTGCGTCTAGACATTTTTCCCTTACTTTATGCTCTTTAGCCTTGACTACTATGGCATCCCTCAGCATCCTATCCTCGTCGTTGTATTCACAACGCTTTACGAGGACTCGTAAATCCGTTAAGAATTTATTGAAGGGCTCACCTTCTCTTTGTGCTCGGCCGTGAAATGCTACGGTTGCTTTTATGACGTTCTTTTTCGGCCTAACATATCAACCTTTAGTCCAGCCCAAAGGTTGATGAACAGGAGAACTCGCACACTCCTACCAACCACAACGACACTTCTAAAACCACGAGTACACGACGAGTTGCAGAACATGCGCCGTAAACAAGTTAAGATGAAAGAGAATTATGACAGTAAAGCAAGAGATTTAAAACCGTTAGATGAAGGAGATGTTGTTAGAATGAAACCGTTAGTGAGAGGAAACAAGCATTGGGAAAAGGCGATGGTAGCGAAGCAATTAGATGAAAGATCCTACCTCGTAGAAACACAACAAGGGACATACAGACGAAATCGCTACATTTACGAAAAACACAAGAAGACGCACCCAATCACAATACTGGGAAAACTCCAACCCATAGCGAACCACAGAACGAAAACCTTGATTCACAAACAAATAAACAGGCACATAAACAAGTCATAAATCAGCAAAATAAACCAAATCAAGGAAACACAGTTGAAGCCGACACTCCTAAACCTGTCTCTTATACACATCTAGATGTGTATAAGAGACAGATGCATGTAAATACATGAATTTAATCACTAATAGTCATGTAATCCTAAATGTTCATACCATTACTCATGTTACAATTCAGACAAGTTTGTCACAGGTCCTGAATAATGTTGACAACAATATGGTTGATCCATTTGTTAGAGTTAGTAGTATTAGTAAAGTTTGTTAGAATAGTTATTATAAAGTTAGTGGTCTACGGAGATACTTAATGCATTAATGTTCAATAGAAAATATAATTTCACGACAGTAATAATCTGACTTAAAGAACGGGGGATGTAGTGAGCCCTCTATATTATCATTGTACGACAGTATGTAGATATGCTGAGACACTCATTAAACAGGTATCGTAGAGACTAGACGTACGTGAGTCCAGTGTCTGTGTTGAGTCAACGTATACGAAATTACAACATACACAGTGTAGTTAAGAAAGTCCCACACTGTGCAAAAAACTCTAAGTCCGTGTTTGGACGTAAACCCAAATACATGTGTAATCTAATAATAGCCTTGGGGCTAATTCCGACGGCCGTTCGGACGAGTAGAATAAGAACTGGTAAAACCAGTAACTTCTCGTATGTCTTTCATTCAACCAAGGTCAGACGCAAGTTTTTTAGCAATATTTTTGTTGTTATACTGTTTAAAACTATACATAATCTAGCCTTTGTAACTTCATTTGGCGCTTCAAGTGATTTCTTCACCGTGATAACAAAACTTTATTACATTCGGCACATGTCCGCCGCTAGATAACGCCATGTTGTTGTTGACTGTAAAACAACTCGTAAAGTTGTTGTAACAAAACTAATTTAAAATTAGGTATACAAATTTTTTCTGTTATTGAAATACAAATTACATCTAATTATAATTTTTAAGTTTGTTTTTAAAACAATAATACTTAACAAATAATAAACTATGAATTAGAAATATAACATTTGAACGAATACCGTGACATATGTAAAAATGTCACTCGCTCGCTGGCCTACCGTAAAGAACTTTTTTGTTGTAAGTTTAAACGTCATGTTTTGCTAAAGTTCTTACTGTCAAACTTGAATGTATCTAGATATAAGTTTGACGTGAACCAGGCTATTAAACAACTGAGGAGTGAGGCATGGTTTAATAAATCTTTTTATCACTTAATTGTCATTGATTGTTTTCACAGTGTTTAAGAAGGTCACACACTGTGCAAAAAACTCATGATGATCTGTGTAAATTACAAATGCATATCTTCACTCCTTCCTCAAAACATATATGTTGCTAATTATGGAGGAAATTTGTAGAGAATGAAATTTAAATTTGTTTAAGATTTATTTAGATTTGACTCTAAACAAGACCATGAGGGTGTTTCATTTGATTTAATAAATCTGTTTAATTAAGTTGATCCGTTTACACTGTGCTTGTTCCTGTCCGCAAGCTGTCACATCACAACCAAGCACATGTTTGGCCATCCATGACCCCACAAAAAAATTAACCAATTAGCGGGCAGAAGCAAACAGGTCATTGAACGATCAGTGTCTGGCTTATCAACTGCATGGTTTGCGTAAAAACACTACGTTTAGAGATTTTCTTTTTTTCCTTTCAAAGTTAATAGCATGGTTTTTCGTATTTACCATACCCGGGCTGCAAATAATCGGCAGTGTTTTTGATAGTTCATTTTGGCAAATGTAATAGTATGGCCTATCGCAAAGCCGTGTGTTTAGAGGTGAAAATCGGCCATGTTTATTCAAAATCAGCCTAAGAATCACAGCTATATGGCTCGCTGCCTAAAGCACTGATGTGCTGTAAAACCAAGTGTAGAGATGTTGGAAATGTGAGAGTAAAACAAAGATGAAGGTTCCAAGCCAGCACCCAAATAGCTGCCAAGTGTAAATTTTAACAGAATATTTCTTTTAATCTAAAATAAAGGTGAATCAAACTTGTCAAGTAAATTAGACATCATCCGCATTGACTTGTCACCAAGCGAGCAGTACAAGTCCATGGTACTTGCAGGTCAAAGGCCAGAAGTCGTCTTAGAAGTTTCTGCAAGGGCTATCGCTTTCTGGACATATCAGGTTTGTTTTCATATAACACAAATAACAATCTGCGTTTCATATCAACATTTTCTTTGCAATACAGTAAATGAAAATACAAATGGAAATTGAATTGTTAACTATTAGTGTGGAGCTTGCCTTTCCAATCATAGGGTTCTGGGTTTAATTCCTGTCATGGAAACAGGATTTTTTCTTACGACCAAAACAACTCCACTCCCTAAGCCTCATAATGAGACTTTATTTTATTTTATTTATTCTTTCTTTATACTGAATACACACTTTCAAGTACTGATTTCCAAAGTGGTTCAGAATATTTATATAATATATGGATATGCAAGGTAAGAGAAAATGTAGTTAAAATAAGATGGTATAATTGAGGATATTAAATAGAATGCTTAAAAGCTGAAAGTGTCGTAGATTTAAAGCTGGTTTTAATATGATTTGGGAGTTTATTCCATAATTTAGTAGATCAGGGGTTTAGCCAGGAAAACAAAATAGGCCGTCCAAAATGGAAGCGAGTGGGTGTGGTACTGAGCCAATGGGTGGGCCACGTCCATCTTTGGGACTCCCCACCAAATATTAGTACAAAAATAATGTAACATTCGATCAACAAATGCTGTTTTTATCAAATGTAAATATGATTTAGCTTTAGTTTAATGTAACGTTCGATTTGAAGAATAAAAAGAATTTGCTAACTTAAAAGTAGACCAGGCCCAATTAGGCTATGCCGAGGTGGACATTGCCATTCAAGCCGTCACGGTAAAAGTGGCCGTCCTAAATAATTGTAGGCCATCCAAAAGACGGCTCACTGGCTAAGACTGTGATCTGTATACAAAAGGTCTTTTACCTTGCGTATTATTCCAGGTGTATTCAATGAGTGTATTTTTACTTTGACTGCGAGTACAATGCATGCAAACCGTAAAGCAAATTTTTAGATAAATATGAAGTCCTTGAATAGTGACTTGTACCCCATTCAGACTAGCTTTGCATTGCGATCGGTTGTAGCAATTGCAAAACCCAATCGCACCCAATTGCAAAGTAAAATTGTGTCTGAAAGCTCACCAATAGTAGTCTAAGTAATCGATTTCGCAATTGTTACCCGTTGCGATTGGGTGCTACAATCTTTTTTACTCCCGATTACCACAGAATCCGACCGTAACGGATTACACAGGCACTGGTTGGCTGAGGTCAAAGAAAACAGGACGACCTATATCGTCGCTAGTGATGTAAAGTATCAAAGTAAAAAGGTGCCTGAATGCTGTCAAAGTTTGCGAATGGTTGCAAACAATTTGAATTACAACTGTTTACCACCGATTAAATCGCAACCGGTTGCAATGCAAGTCTGGTCTGAATATGGTATAAGTTCACTGCTTGGCAATTGTTGGCCTTTGGCCTAAAACCAGTTAATAAGAAAAAAAAATGAAATATTATTATGATTATTTTGTTATTTACTTCATAAGTGTGTGATGATGAATAAAAGGTGTTTTGCTAGATATCTAATCTCAGGTATACATCCCTAATTCTAGTGTGTTTTACTGCGTAAGCCTTATAACCACTGCTTATAACACCCGATAAAATGGAAAGTCAAAAAAAAATATTTATGAAATACATCATGAATATTTCATTTTCTAGGTTCATCAGGAGAGAGTATTTCAGGAGTACACAATTAACAAGACTAAGGACAGACAAAATCAGATGGAAAAGTACTATGAACAGGTGATATCCAGGACACAAAGTGACTTAGAATTGCTCAAAAGCGAGATTTCTAGTAAGGCCTTCTCCTAAAACACTATACGGTACACATAATCATATGAAAGTGAAAGTTTTACTGATAACTCACGGTAATTAATCATTATAGAAAAAATTTATACAGCAATTGAAAATTGACTTGCTTATCCATGTGGTGTTATCTCCAAGCAATGCTCAAGTTTTTGTTATGGCTGCGCGCAACGCTCGGCCTCAGGATAGCTGTATTTTTCTTAATGAAAGAAGATTCAACAAATTTTTATTGCTTGGCAGATGACAAAAATATAAATTGTATACATACAGAGCTGAAGTTTAACAAGAAGTTTCATAAAGTCGGACATACAATTGACAATGAATAATAAAATGGAAAAACTGTTCAAAATTTAAAACCTAATAAAATGTCTTAAAACAGTAAAACACTTAAAAAAGTTAAAACACTAAAGATAAAATTATTGAGTACTGCAGTATTGCAACTGACCATTGTTAGAATTAAATTAGAGCTAAAACCTTAATAAATTGTCTTAAAAGTGTTATTAAAAAGTTATTTATAAAAGTTAAAACCATTAAGAACAATAAAACTTCCAGTATTGCAGCAGACTATCGCTTAATATTAGAAACATATGAATACTATTTACAGCAAATTAATTCCTAGTCCTAGCGTTGCTTTTTTTTTGGGTGGGGGGGGCGTTGCATACTGCCAGATTTATTTAAAATGTAGCAATTACATATTACAAACTATTTTGTTTGTAATATGATGAGCTATTTTCTTTATCTAAATTTTCATAGTCAACCAAATATACACGTCTTATTCGGAGGACATGGCATTAAACTCCTGGGAGGACCTGTAGGCCTAGATAGTACCGACTAGAAAATCGTGAGTAACCAGTCATGCGTGAGTAACCAGTCGTGCGTGAGCATAACAAAAAAAAATAGGCACAGGCTAGGCTTGATTTTGTATTTAAGCCGGCATGTAACATTTACTAATGTCAGTGTACCCTCAAGGTTATGATCTTTTTTTTGGAGATAGTAGTAACATTAAAGCATCTTTAACATAATCCCGATCTTAGCTTATGATCGCGAAATATGATAATTAAAACTCGCAGAAGGCTAAGTTGTTGGGTCAGTTCCCTCTACTAAAATGAAATCTATTTTGGTAAAAATATCACATATGATTTAAGGACGAGGGAAGCGAGAAAAGAAAAAGATATATTCCCATTCTCCTTGCACATTGCATCATTACCAGATTGTTCACTGGATCGTGGCCCTATTTTCTCTCTTGAGTGACTTTTGAGGAAAGCTGTATTGGATATCCCTGTGAATTACTGTACGTAGATGGACTGCAGAATACAACAGTATTTTAGTTGGTTTCTATTATTTTTTAAAAACTATTTGTACACAACTAATAATTACCACATCAAAGTATTATAGTTATGTATAATAATATTATTATTGTATTATTATAATATTATTATTATTATTATAGGGATAGGATAGATAGACTGGTGAGGAAGGCAGTTAGGATGGTTGGGTGTGAGCTGCCCGTGGTGGACTCAGTCTACCGCGAACGGTTGTGCAAGAAGTTCTGTTTGATATGTGCTGATGTAAGTCACCCCCTTCATCCAGATATTGCCAACTGTTACATTGAACGTAGCGGTAGACTGAGGCCACCGCAGGGCTCTACAGAGCGCCATCATCTCTCCTTCCTCCCCAGAGGAATTAGGGACTTTAATAGTAAACATCAGAGGTAGAGGGTTTTTAGTGGTGGTGGCCAGTATTGATTAATAACAAGTTAATTCGAATATGGTATATCTTAACTATTATTATTAATATTATTATTATTATTGTTATTATTATTACTAATATTATTTTTATTATCACTATTAGTAAATAATCTTATGCTTTTCCATATTGTTGTATACAGCCATGAAATTTACCCATAGTGGGATGAATAAAGTATCTTTGTAGCAGCAGCAGCAGTATAATTATAATGATACAAACAAAACAAAAGAGCAAACATGCACTTGACCATAATTACAAAATTATAACATCTAATTCTTATTGCCCTCCCATGGCAAAATGCATAACTGGCAATTTGCTGTTTTGGAGATATTAAGCAAAACATGTAATTTATTTAGCCCTAAAATGTGTTTTAGTATTTGATTTCATGGGTAATGTATTCAAATAGACAAATAATGTCTCTTCCAGTGGCACACATTTTTTCTTTAAATATTGATTTTTGTGCTTAAAATGTCAGTTATGCCCTTTTGCCACGGGTTTTCTGATTCAAGACATGTTGACAAACTTTGGCAAAAGGATATAAGTACACAGTTTAGTTACTTTCAACGCAATTTTAAGTCAGATTATTCAAAAATAACATTCAATATATTTCATAATTATGTTAGTCATGCATGAAATATCAAATAAATGTACAATAATACCAAAGAAACGCATTAAATAATAAATACTAAAATTACAAATGATTAAAAACCCATGTATAGGCTAACCAAGTATACAAACGAGAAAGAGAATTAACAATAGTATGCTGTTATGTATCATCAAAGCCTTTTTGGCTCAAGGTGCTAGGTCGAGGATCCTATGAGTAGGGGGCTTAGGGACCCCTATGGGTCTGGGGCTCCGTACAAGAGTGCATAGGCGTTACGCCACTGCGTGAAGGATGTATGCGTATGTGAAATAGAACTATTGTTTAGCATTACAATTATTTTATATAAATTGGTTTTTAATTTTATTTACAAAGTAAAATAATAAATATATATTTTAAGTCATGTACATTACAATATAAATTAGGCCTATTATTATTATTTTTATTAGCAATTCTTCTCTATAATCCAAATTCAAGTAATGATAATATTGGGTTTTTTTTATATTCTAATAAAATATTTAGAAAATGTATTATATAGTTAGATTTAGATGGAAAAGTAAGTTGTTGTTTGCTTAGTGAACACAGTTGATTCGAGTAAACTGTGCAGTTAAACCTTTTTGCCATGTTATTTGCTATAAACGAAGTAGTAGTGCCCTTTTGCCATAGTTATTTGCTAAATAATCATTTTAGTTGTCCCTCTTTGCCATTGTTATTTCTAGTTAAAATGTGAATTGTTATTCTGCCATGGTTATTTATTTTTATTAAACAGTTACTATTTTCCCATATATATATTTCCATAGTATTAAACTGTATGCCATTCAAAGTAAGGCAAGATTATATAGCATAAATTAACTAGACTTGTCATGTTTGCCTAACATTAACTAGACATATGCTACTGTCAGTGTCAAGAATCATACTATTTAACCAATTTCTATTTACAAACTGTGAGTACACAAACAGTATAAAGGAATAATAAAAATAATAAAACTTAACCCTCTGGATACCGGATTCTTTTGTAGTGCAAACCCTTGAATACCGGATTCTTTTGCAGTGTAACAAGGTTTTTTGCTTTTTTTGAGTATACGTCGTTCTGGTGGATTTTTGGGAACTTTCTGTAAATTATACAGAAAAATGTTTCTAAAAACAAAGAAAGCTTATAGAATACGCTTTCATTTGATGTATAATTTATATTTTTGGGAATTTTATTTCATAATATAATATAATATATATATAATA